TACGATTTTGACTTTGACGACGACTCTGAGAAATGTTTTTGTCCAAATATGACTTCAAATCTAACTGCATCCTAGTCATCGTTGAGTTTCGGAGTTATCCGCAGGGCTCTACGGATGAATCGATAAAATTGCGTTAACTATGATGTTCAGAAATCTGACTTTGTAATCGCTCAAGAGCAAAATGTTAGTGTATGACACAAAGTTTCGCCGAAAGGAATCATCGAGCAATACTTCTTCTGAGGATTTTTCAAAGCGACTAACTGTATTGAAATACACAATAGAGAATTTGTTCCTTGCCTAGCTTCTCAACTAAAATTTAGAAAAAATCTTTTTGTATGGCAAAGCTTCAGCTCATTGCACACAAATGTTGCCATGTTGTTGGCAACCTTGTGAATATAACACAAAATCGAAATGTATACAATGACATGCCTCACACTCTTGCAGCACTAAAAAGTCCTATCGTTACCTTGATGCATCGCTTGACAGTGGATTTATCGCAAAGATTTTGCCAAAAGGAATGTAATTGTGCAAAATGTTGAATATTGGATTCGTTAAATGGCTTCTGTAACCAGCCTTGGTGACTTCAAAAACTTGACAGATAGGTACGCATTTATCGACGATTTACAGGTTATGTGGCTTGACCAAAAAACAACTGTTCCTATGCTTTTAAATTGTTCTTTTACATTTGACTTCCATCGTAGATAAGTAATGAAATACAACTTACTGCGATCCTGATGGATCAAGCTCAGCAATTCCAAACAATCTTTAATTGAAAAGTGATTTTCTCAAACAACGAGCACCATGAAGTTCTTCCGACAGATTATAACACAAAGCTCTAGAAAACTACATAACGCCTACGTGGAATCTACTCCGTCAAGTTCACTGTTTCTCATTTGATCGTGACATTGTATGTCGATGCAATGAAACAACCAAAGCGAATAATTGTCAGTGATGAAAGAGAATCTCATGTTACTGATATATACGTTGATTTAAAACTCTATCTCACAAATATATTTCGCATGATGGACAGTAGATGCACTATTGCCAAAATTCTCATTCAGAAAACATGTTGTTTTTTTTTAATTTAATGGTGAAATGTCATATTTCTTTTTTTCTTTTATATGAAAGTCACGACAACATGAAACTAAAGACTTTCTGCAAATGTTTTCTATATCAAGGTCATCAAAATGCAAATTCGCTCATAATCCTCAACTTCACGTAATCATCAAAATAATCGATTGATAAATAAATCTCCATATTGTCATGTTAGGATCCTCATTTTCATTTATACTGAAGTAGCGCCACCCGTAATTAAGGGAAATTTCAATTGCAAGAATACTTTAATAATCAACTAAGTCTCTATTCATTGTAATCAATGATGTTTGTATTGATCAACTTTTGAATTTATCTAAAATCTGAAAAATCAGTTTTATCATTCATACGAACCAAGATATGTCAGTTGACAGTGCCATCATTGTATTTCATCTAAAATCAAGAAACTACATGAACTTCAAACACCAAAAGATAATGGCACCTTTTGACATCGATCTCTCTTTACTATATTTTAAAGCCAACTGGTAGAACAACATTTTAGGGATAGATTGTTATAGAGATGATATGCATCAATTAAAACTTTTTGTAAAACGACTTATGTCTCGTAAGTGAGCAATACGAATGACTATTTATTATTGGTTGTTTTGATAAATAAGAGACTTTGATAAATGCAAGATAAAGCAAGAAAAGCGATACTAATCCATGACAAATATTTACCATACTATCTAATGATCGTGTGTAAATGAACCTCTACTTCTCATTATACCTGAAAAAGCGACAACGATCTAAACATGTTCTACTACGTAACATTTATCACATTTGTTAATTTTATTACTTGTTAAACATGGTAATCCAATAAGCTCATAGCCTATTGAAGAACCAAAACGCTGTTGTCTATCGAAACAATTCAGTCTACATCTGGGTCTATCGACTGCAGTGATATTGGAAGATGGTAAACCATTTATGGCATATATAAGTTACTCATATGTGGATCTACCTTTTGATTATTTAATCTGAATAGTCATAGTACCATTTTTCATACGACTGGGATTGCAGCAGGATTGGAATGAAAGGTAAAGTGTATTCGGCAAACCAAAATACATCGCACTTGTGGATCATTGAAAATACGAAAAATGGACAAACTTATACAATAGACCAAGATTCTAAGAAATGTGAAAAGTCAACAATATCAATAAACTCAATCAGTTGCATTCCAGGTGAATAAAACTTATTCTTTTTCGAAATCTTCTCTTTATTATGCTAAGAAAAATATGATGTTGCTCTGTTTGTTTGATTGTAGACACAGCAGAACACATACGCACATCAACATATGGATATGGTGATCAAAAGATTATTGCTGACACATGGCTTATAATAACAGATGACACAGTTAGTATTTCAACAGTAAGTCATGGTGATCTATGCGTTCCAATAAAAGCGTTTATTTTCTCTGAGAAACTTGGTGAGTAATTGCCTAGCTGGAAAACACAAGTATACTATTGATTTCAATGGTTTCTTCTTTTTGACAACTTTAGCAATGGCTGATTCAATGACAATGACAGATTTTGTGCCTCAGACTTTTGATCCAACTGTATGTGACATATCAGAGACATGTAACAATGTTGTTTAGTTTTTGTTTTGGGTTTTCTCAGAACTGACTAATCATTAAAATTATATAATGCTTTACTGGAAGTGTAGAATTTTGCTTAATTTTGAAATAAACAACTATGTAGTATACAATTACAATCTATAACTATCTTTGACTGCAAATCCATTAAAGACATCAACTATGTCTCTTATGGAGGATCGACAACAGCAACAATACTAATGTCTTCTTGCTTTAAATAGAATTTGTGTGAGATTTCGATCACTATTTCGTGCAGTTAATGTTTGAGATTGATTGAACGAATACGTTTGTTCCAAGAATCAAGAGAAATATGACGTTACTATGGTGTATTTCTGCTTTTATAAGAAATCTTTGAATATTTTGCAGTTATTGACGTTGTTTGGAACGTTCTTGGCTTCAACAGTACACTTGCGTGTACGTCGCTAAAATGATGAAAAGGATTGGATAATTAAAAAAAATGAATTTATCTTCATTTAGTCTAATAGAAAAAACCCAATATAGCATCCAGTTTTGCTCCAAAATAGTGTAGTTTTTCACTCTTGAGCTATCAAAGTGGTACCAAAGGATCACATAACCTATAGAGGTCATCGACTAAATCAGATACCAATATATACTAATATGACATTTACTTCATGTAACAAAACACAATCGAAAAGCATCGTATTTAATCGGATTACGAATGGTTTCATTGATATTTCTAAAACAACAAATACAAGAGTGAAGTTCACAGAGCATGTGTAATTTTTGCTCAACAGCGTTGTGACCGGTAGGATCTTTCGGGTGGGTAGGTGAAGGTGGATGTGTGTCAGTGAGCGTCTTCTCTTCACGAGAACAACCAACATCCACATCCACACCCACACCATTTAATCCATTTTCTTGAATATTCGAAAATTTGTACAGAGAAATTCAATGAACTATAGAAACAACTCTTTTGTTCTTAAGTTGATATGATGATAGAGATCCGCGATTTTCACTGGTCAAAAAGAGGAAATAACAATGGATCGGATCAAGACTACCAGATTTTTCTGGATAGTTTTCCAAGCGCTCTAGCCTAGTTTTTCAAAATCAAACCGTTATATATTGTAAAAATGTTAGAGTTTTATTTTTCATTAGTGCACTGAATCACAAATTAAAGTTGGTAATTTATATAAAGAGTTTAGCCAGTCATGAATTATTAAGATTTTACTGAGTGTTTTCGGCAAAATTTGTATAAAAAATCCGCTTTTTAAATCTAGGGTGTGGGTGGGTGGGTGAGGATGGGTGTGTGAATGTGGGTATGGGTGGGTGTGGGTGGATGTGGGGTGTGGGTGTGAGTGTTCTTTTCAGTTACGCATACACCCCACATCCACACACCCCACCCACACATCCACAAACCCACACCCTAGCAACCTATGTGTCAATTTTTTGGAAAATGTTTCGGCTATAATTTCTTAATAAAGCAGTGGTAACCGCTAATTGTTTCATACCTGAGATAGATATATTTGACCTGACAAACGCACATAAGTTTCATTGAAATTCGAAGAACACGCCTGGGGACCTTCCCTTGTCAGACAAAGAGAAGATAGCATAAATGAATAGCATCGAGTTCCTTGTCGTTTAAGAATGACATATACTTTCGTTGGGACTGATTGCGAATAAAACTAATGCTGACCTGCCACATCTTTGAAAATTCTCATTCTTCTTCCTTTGATTGCTTACTGAATCCTGTTAACAAAGGGCAACCTCACAATATCGTTAGTTCTATTCATAGAGTAATCGATTCATACTGTCATTTGATCTTGATGACCTTGAAACACTATTGAATAAAGCTAACGAAATTCCAACATTATGAAATGCTACTGATGGATTAGATCAGAACAGTCTTGAAAGTTATATAAAATAAGTTTAGTACATTTGTGCATGATATTCATTGTATTGTGTACGTTGAAATGACAAATATTGGACTGTCAATAGACCAACCAGGCAGTCCAGTCTTATTTTACTAATTCTCAAATCATGTGTTACCGATAGTGTTCTTGTATTTTATTTAGTTGAAAAAGAAGAACGCTCGAACTTTTGAAATATTGTGCTCTTCATTGCGCATGTAGATGCATAAATGTTACGTCATTCTTTACCGAGAGCTTCCGTTGAGTTAAGAAAGAATAAAACAATGAGAAGCAATATTTGTCAACTATTTAACGTGCGTGTATGCCTGTTATCTCAGAATGCATGCTCCATCCTGTGTGTTTTTTTTTGTTGAATCATCACGTTTAAAGCAACTATCTCTTCAACAAACGAGTCATTTGTCTTTTCCATTTGCGTCAACGATAAAAACGTAACAATGAGTAGCATGGGTGATGATAGCAATCGATCATATAATAACGAATCAACGATTGCCTCAGATATTTCAAAAACCGATCAACTATCCGCTCCCATACAAAATTCACCTACTTCCGATTTTGTAAGACAGCTAAACGAAGAAGTTCTACTTGCTGCAGAAAATTCGCGTAATTCTGACTCTATGCTCAATCCACGCAATGATGAAGGAAGTCATTTCAACTATGATCCTGATACAAATAAACTAGTTTGTGTTGCTACGGATTATGATGATATACCCGCGAGTGTTATTCAAGCATTTGCATTGAAAACAAAGGTAAATAGCAAAACATTTCTATGTTTTATTTCATTTCATTATTTTTGTTTAGATTCTTGATTTAAATAGCAATCGTTTTCGATCACTTGCTTGTGTGAAACGATTTCCTAATCTCGAAGAACTTATATTAGATGGGAATCAAATCGATGATACTCATACACGTTTCCCAAAATTACCCAAACTTCATACATTATTGTTGAACAAAAATTCTCTACAGGACATTTGCAAATTAGTGGAACAATTACGTCATGCTTATCCTATGCTTAGTTATCTTTCGTTAATCGGTAATGAAGCATGTCCATTTCGAATTTTTCCGAAAAATCAATCATCAACAGAAAATGATCTTAGTTCTTTTTCACAAGATCATCTCGATGAAGATTATCAACGCTATCGAGATTTGCTTATTGTTCGTATTCCAACTTTGAAATTTCTTGATTCTCGAGAGATTAGTGCAAATGAACGACGGAATGCTATGCAGTCTTGGTATATTTTTAATTCAATTGCTGAAACAAAATTATCGTATCTGTCGAGAGCGACCGATAAAAAAGAGAGTAACTCCTATAATCGCTATACTCCATTACCATTGGTTACCGGCCCAACTAAACCAAAAATATTAATTCAAAAACGTCATCATACCTACAATGGTGAAGAAAGTCAGGGTCACCGATTTATCAAAGATGGTGATTTGTAATCCAAATGTTGTCAAAACACTTTTCCCTTTCTTTTATTATTTTAAATTGTCTCCTATTTCTTCGTGTACTTCTTTTTTCTGTTATTCAAGTTCTATCATGTAAAAAACCAGAAATGTACTTTAAAATCTGCTAGGAAGTATCGTGTTTGAACATTTTGGACAAGCAATCTGTATTTTCTATCGCAGATTAATTTGCTTAGTCCTTTTACAGCTGAAGAATATTAAAAAAAATCTCTCTACTGAAAAGAATATGCTTCGAAAAGTACCGTTCCAGAAAAATGGGCTTGAACTGTTCGAAATCTGAGATTTTGTATGAACTCCGTAAAAATATCCTCACATATTTATGACAATTGATGTAAGAAGTCTACCATTTCGACCTTTTAGAAAGCTTCATCTTCTCGACATCTTTTTAATATGGAAAATATTTTCAATTAAACAAAAGCAAACTATTTATGATGATTGCTATGGAGAAAACTACATAAAAACATGAAGTTAATTGAATACATCTTTTCAACAAAACTTGAGTCATTCAATGAATAATCAGAAAACTTCTTCATACAACAAAAAACGATTCGCTAAAATCGTTTTGATGTTTTCGAAAATTTCGATTAGTTGACGCTTAACTGATGAGCAACATACTTTGTTGTCCATTCGCTTGCTATTTCTTCATATTTTTGCTGATCTGTTAGATAAAGTTTCGACGCATCTCTATTCAATCCGTGTTCACAATTAGGATCTGTCGATAATGAACATAATGATATTAAGAGAGTGCGAATACTTAATGCCGGAGACCATTGAGTATGAAGAATATCTAAACATATTTCACCTTTGGTATTAATATTTGGATGATAAATTGATGTAATAAAACGCATATGAGATGGTTTGAATGGAAAATCGACGAGAAAATCAATATTGAGTTGAAATCTTTCACCAGCAAATGGTGTTTGTTCTGGTTCGTCAATATAACCAATCCAATGAGTGAGATTCGTGTCGAAGTTTTCAGGTTCAGCATGACATAATGGAGGTGGATCTTTCTCTAGTTCAAGATGATGAAGACGGAGACATTTGAGAAAAGCCATGTGCAACAAATGAGTAATAGTCTGAAATAGAAATCAACTAATCTATTTACTTGATGATGTAATGATTCAATATCATTCCTATGAATCACAGCCAGTAACCTTATTCTTCGAAAAGATTATCAGAAGATTGTCTGTCGAACTATCCAACATTGAATAATTAGACATAATTAACTTTGAGCAGAAAATATTGGACGTTTTGAGATGCTGTTGATATACGCAACCATTGATCGAGAAGAATATGTAAATAAATATCAATTTATAAATTGAAGTAAATTAATAACTTTGTTACGTTCGACATTGAATGTATCGTATAAGTATCTGGTAAAATAAGAGCTATGTAGAGCACAAAAGAAATTCCATGTAAAAATAGCCATATGTGTGGGAAAAAAATCAACCTTCTTCGTCAGAGTAAAATAGAATTAAGCGTCAATAGTCTATCATTCGTAACAGGAAAGAAAAGAATGACATGTTCAATGATTACTTGAAAAAAACCCATTATGTTTAAACCTTTCAATTATTCATCTGGAAATATTCAACATAATGATTGAGTCACATCTGAAGGTTGCTAATCTATGATTTTAACAGTTCACAAGCTGAATTCACATTATTGAAATATTTATAGAAAGATGGCACATTTTCTTTGAAAAAATGAATTGAAGAGTAGAAACTCACACCTACCAACATATTTGCGTTTTTCTCCTTGTCCAATGAAAATGTTATAGGGAGATGAAGAAAAAGTTATTCTTATTGCAGACTGCATGACCTCATTTTTGCGACAATATCCAAGTCAATCGAGATTTGGTTTTGGAGAAAATCAATAAATATGCAGCTGGTTTAACTAATTATTTTGATTAGAGTTTTACTCGTTGGTAATCAAACTTTTGTTTTTGTTTTCATCATGAAAGTAATATTTCATTGTCTATTATATTCATCGAACGTAATCGATAGAATCTAACCTGTACAAGTAGAGAATCAATGAAAATGTTTGATGAATAAAATCAACGTTTGGTCAAGACCATGATACCTATTCAATATAAAAAACAAGAATTAATATAATCCACTTCGACAAACAAGAAAATTTTTCAATCATTGAAAATATCAAACTTAAATTGATTGTTCTCTTCAGCGAAGCCAAACAAACCAAACTAGGATGGAAAAATAGTATTTCTGACTTAAACACCTCAGGTCTGATGTCTAAGATGTTGAATGTGAGGGTGTGGGTGTGGGTTTGGAATTAATATATAGATGAAATATCAACACCCACACCTTCATATACAAGCATATTCTTCAATACTTTTGGATAAGTTTCCTATTGAGTTGTACAATGATTTGTGCAATAACGATAAGTAGAATATCTTTTATGAATATATAGCTGATTATGTTGAAGTAGGTTGGTCTCTTTTTATTTCTAAATCTGATATTTTGTTAGATGCTTTGAAGAAAACATCTTTTGGTGAGCAGAAATTCAAAACAGCATTTTGTCAAGCGAGTAAAAAAACAGACAAGATATAGTATTTAGATTTTTATACTAGTTTTGGTGAGATTACAAATGAGTTTGTTAAAATATTGACAAATGTTGGGGAGAAATGTGAGTCCGAGTTCGACATTTTGAATTTTTATTTTTGTAAAACAAAAAATTGTATTAGGTCGAGATGTTATCAAAAATTTATTCAAACTTTTTTTTATCGAAGTTTCGTTCGAAATCGAAATCTTCTACTCGAATTTTAGAACTACTTGTTTATCTTGCACAGCAAGGTATTATCTCAGCGTTCGATGTTCATCATCATGTATCGATTGTTACTAACAATGGGTTATATGAATATGATAAAACAATATTTAGTAATGTCAATGATCTTTTTTTTTACGGAAACTGAGAAAGTTCGAAGGGATGATAGAGAGAGGTAAAGAAGTTAGATTTTTAAATTTGGAAAATATTACAGCCAATTTGAAGAAAAACATTCAACGTACAGATAAAGATTCAGGTTTGCTTGTTGAAGAAGAACCCTTCAGTCCCGACATATAATTGATTTGGAATTATTTAATAAACGAAGATCATATCATTCTAATAATCAAATATTACACCCGCACTTATCATTCAGCAATTAAAAAAAAATTATTTTGCATTTAATGCTTATAAACTTCAATGTTCTGTATTTGTAATATTTTCTTTCTTATGTATTAATTCATCTATTTTTCTGTATGTTTTATTTATTGAAAATGTAGTTTTCAGATTCATTAATTAGTCTCAACAATACTTAATCTAAGATAAATAATCTTGTTTATACCTAATATCCATGCTATAATTAAAGTGAAGTGGATGTAAGGTCAATAATAACAAGGATGTGGGTATGGAGTGTCTGGATGTGAGTTTTATTCTTGCTGCACTCACCCTACACCCACATCTTACATATGAATTTCGGTTATTAAACCAAACGAGATGTTTGTTTTTAGAATTCAGACACATAGATGTATCTAGAGCATCGAATTCTCTATATTTTACTTATAAAGGACATTTTCAAAAAAAGAAAGGGAAAGAAAAATTTCTTAGGCTTTGATACGATTTATTCAGTGGCGTACATCATATTCCGAAATGACAGAAGTTCAAAGCTTGAAAAACAATTTCAAATGTAACTGTCAAAATTTATTTGTTGTACGTTGTATTTCCCTTACAGTTAATGAGATCGTACGATTTCGACGATGATGATTTTTCAAGTGTCGAACAGTTTTCACTACAATGGGGACAACAATCTTTAGTGCAACAGTCAAGCCTCCAAATAGACCAATGATACTTGTCACAAGATAAATACTGTCGACTTGTTTGTTATATGAATATGTACATGATATTGGTGCACATGATGAATAACATTGATCATAATTAATGCTATTGTACCATCGATCCCCTAGAAGTTCGTTGATAAGTGTTTGAACAGTAACATTAGGTGAAGAAAGCGTGGGATCAAGCGGTTGAACAGTAAGATCTATATTCTAATAGATCGATTTAAGTTGATTAATACAGGTTCTTTTGTAGAGACATTCGAGATTTGATTGAAGAAGTGACTGAAGCGGATAACAACCGACTCGAAAACTGGGTACAAGCCACTGATCAATCATTGCTACTGATGTACACATATAATTAATACCACATGAGCATGAAGAATTATGCTCACTATAAGAACGTGATTTAGCCCAGATGGAACCATATTGAATTGGTTGAACCAATGACGTAAAATACCAATTGGATTCAATCTCAGAAATAATGCCGTTTCCTTGAGAAACTTGTTGAATAAAATCAAGTTCACGAATAACTGCACGTGATGTTTACAAATAGAAACGAATTAGAGCTGCATCAATCTGTATTCGAATTGTTGTTTGCGATTGAGCTCGACCAGTTACTAACGTCTTCGAATAAAAGACAATTAATGCATTGTTAATCGTGCTATTAACTAGAGTACATAATGAACTAAGCCATCTAAATTGTGGTAAAATAAAGACACGATAATCAAAAAATAAGAATAGTTAAAACTATTCCAAGGATTGTAAATTAACTTTAGAAAATAGAATGAAATAATATCACTAATCCAGAGTCGATGCAATCGATAAGAAATCGAAATAAATGTACCATATTAAATGGCAAGATTTTGACACAGATAATTACGTGTGCTTGAATATATTTTATGAGATTCAAGTTGTTGAACTGTACTCAAAGATGGATGTTGTACAGTAACATATTTGACATCACCGATTAACAATGTATATACAATAAGAATAGAAATCCTAATCATAAGTAGAAATAAGTAGATACGAGTAGAAATAATTTGTGTTCTTAAATGATATGCGTTGGCATTTGTTCCTTCATGTTCGAATAAATTGAATTCCAATGCTTTTTCTTTGATCAAACTGTACACATGATGAACATGATCAGAAAACGTACCAATTCGATCTAATCAACAATATTTCAACAGATAAATTTTATTGAAGACTAAAGCTACTACTAACACAAATCTAGAGCTACTAGTAGACAGTAGTGATGGAATCATCAGAAAAACTGAACTCTTCCACTGAGTACTTCAACCTCTCCTTCATATCGGAAGGTTGATTTTTATAGTATTGGAGAAAATAAATTCGCAATGAAAGATATTAAATAGATTGAGCTCTTTATTGAGATTCCAATGCAGGCTTTGAGTATCAAACGAGGGGCACGATGAACTGCCGAAACTTTGAAACATATGTTTTTTCTTCGTTCTCTTCCCATTTCGAGACCTTCGATAACT